TCCTGCTGCCAATTTTTACCATTTCATCTCATCTACCTCACTCCCACTATGAGTTTTGCGTAGAGGACAAGGATGAAGTAAGTGGAACAAAGTGCTAGTAAGATCTAAATATAATTTCTTATTTCCAGGCTCATACTGTAAAAACAGTCTGTTGATAATGAGATCTGAACCAATTCACATTGGCTCTGATCTTTTAAATAATTGCAGAAAGGGTATTAGAGTCATGCTTCTAACAACTTGAGAAAGCTCTTACCCGTTCTCGAGTATATTGTAGGTGAGAGTGCTAAAATCATGTGGATCAGGTGATGCCATGCATGCCTCCACAAACACCACCAGATTTGGGTCAGAGCTGTGAAGATAAACTTGAAGGTACAAATTTTGGTTCAAGTCAATGTAGTATGGGAAGTCATGCACTTGATGTAAGAATGATGAGGAGTCATAAAAAGTGATGTTCACATCATATCTTCCAAACTGATTTTCATGCACGTCTACAGTATCCTCAGCGACATACATTATTTGTATCCATGTCTTCTGTAGCATTTTGCAGCTGATATGTAAGTGAATATCCTTTTTCCTCTTGATTATGGAGCCAGAAGATCTAAATTTGATCATGTTGGAATAGTTGATTGTATCATTGTTCTCCTGTTTAACATGTAATATAAAGTGAGGAATTGTATTTTTATCATGTTCTAAGCTTTGGTAGAGTAATATGTAATTTAAAATGCAGATTCATCTTAAACTCTTTAAACCAAGAAGCTTGATGTTGGTTTTTTCTGCTCACACATTGTACATAAACTTGCTGATGTAATTAAACAGAAATCAGTGGAGAAAAACTCTTTGTTAAATCCAAGGCACAGCTAACTCATTGAACATCTGTACAAAACACCAATTGTGTAATGCACATTCATCCCAAACCCGTACGGCACTTAAAACTCTACGTTTACTTTAAATCACGGAACGTTCGTATAACTTCCATGCTTTCCTCCCTAGAAGCTCATTTATATTAAGCATGGGGCTTCCCTAAGGCATGGAAAGCTAAAAACCTCAGGTCTTGTTGATCCACTTAGCACTGTGGACCACAACGGCCCTTTCGCGACTCTTTTAAAGCGGGTCCTGTAATTCAGCGCACACAATGGTAAGCGTACCTCTCGCATCGTCCCACAGCCATTATAGGGAATGTTGAAGATAACCTCCTGTGACGTGACTGTTGGTTTGCAGCGACTGTCATTCAGGGTGACCATCTGTGCCGAGTAACCTTGAGACTGGAGATAGTCTCTGCTAACCACCGCATGCATGTAGTCTGGCAAGCACTGAAGGGCTGGTAGAAGAAGAAGATAAAATATATTAATGACTTCAGGAATTTGTTAATGATTAAAGTTTGTAATTGAACCGAATGCTGTTTTTTTCTTAATTTAGAAGGTAGATAGTTCACCACCACCCCCCAATATTTCACATGCACAATTTCATTTCCCTAACATCTTTAAATACACACAAATATTTATTTTGCAAACAAAAACAATAAACAAGCTTGTCCTGAGAAACACCAACCGGGAACTTACTAGTGTTGTGATCTGCTGGAATGGAGGAGTAGTGAGCCTGAAACCCTCTGAAGGTGTATCTAGAATCGCTGTGAAAGCGAATGGTCATCATGTTTGAAGAGGATACGTAGGTGGGAAAGAAACCAGAACAAAGTCTCCCAAGAAGTGGGGAAGAGTGTGGAGGCCCGTCATAGAGTTCAATGTAGTCATCCTGGCATCTGCCGCTTTGCATCCTGGCGAAGAAATGTCAACACCTTGCCAAATGAGTTTCAGAAACTCTTATTTAAATGCCCAACACATGATAAAATCTTTCAGCACTTACAGTTTTCCTGGCAGAGCTTCTATTCATTTTGTGTGTAATTATAGCAAATACACTGTTGCGAGCAGAAAATACTACACTAATCCAGATTTTGTTGTAGTCTTCCAACTGCTGGATGTTGTTGAAAATATCTTTAAAATTGGGAAGGTTGCCTGTTTCAAATAAGTTTTCTAACTTCTCAAGTAAGTTTTGACTTTGTTGTTTGCCCAGAGAATCAATGGGTTACTTACGCAAGATCTCTAAACGTGAGCACAACACGGAAATTGTTCTCTACTTGTATTTCCCACACGCAGTCAGCATTGTTTGGATATCTTCCAGGGTAGAATGGGCTTTGCAGAATCCCAGAGGAATTTGAGATTGAGCCACCACAAAAATAAGGTGCTGCAGAAAGAAATGGAAGAGAATTTACTTACAGTAACTTCTACAACCTTGTACTTGAGCTGTATATATCTCATCCACAGGTCCTGAAAAGCAGGTCTCCAGCTGACTGCAGATATTCTGTATGACCCACATCAAACCAAATCTTTGTTTTTGCATTAGGTTTACTTTCATGTAGCATTTGGGATTCCCTGTCACATCCATGATGTCACTCCACCCTCTTCAGGCTGGGCTGGTAACACCTTGATGCTTTCTCTCTGGTCTCTACGTTCTGCAGTTGAGATCTGATTCTGGGAGGTGTCATGACAGTCAAAATGGGAGTACCTTCCTGAACAGACAGCATCCCCTCAGTTACTCTGCTGCTTCTCTTTATTCCTCTAAGGACTTTGGAGGATAAACAAGTTAGTTTCAAGTCTTCTAGGAAACTCTGTAATTTTATGGTTTCAGACTCAAATAAGTGCTCCAGGCTCCTGGGCCAAGTCTTAAATATATCTCATTTCTCCTATAAGTGTAGCTGCAAAAAGCTTTCTCATTCCTGCCAGCATGAATAGCGTTTAATTCTTATGTTAAACATACAGATAGTCCTAAAAGTTTTCACATAGGAAGGTGAGCACAGGCTCTGAACTTAATTCCTACAAGATGTGACGCATGAAGGCAACATCCCCTCCCTATTTTACATTCCAGCACAGGGACACTCCCCAGTGCAGCACACACCTCCCTGCCTCAGATTTTGGGATTCTCGGGCTATCCCAAGCTTGGGAACATCAGCTGTACCCAGACACTGCCCCTTTCCCTGATCAGACCGGACAGGCTCTCGGGCACCTTCAATTTTGTACTTTTTTCAACTGTGAAATGTCAAGCTCTACATCTAAAATCTGCTTTCTAATGCAAAAATAGTAGGCTGAAGACCATAGGAGCTCTAGCAAGCAGATGAGCCAAAAATTATATCCATTGCACACAGCTTCTCTGATAAACAACCTGTGACTCTGAATGCAAATGGAGAACATTTCAATTAAACCAGTATAATTTTGAAAAAGAAGCTACATTTTTTAAGGAAACTCTAAACCAAGAGAAATTAAGTTATACCATCAGGGAATTAGATAAAGACAAAGATGGAAAATGAAAACAATTCAGGAGAAAAAATGATGTATGAGTGCTGTATAGAAATTATGACAATAAGAAAACTGTATCACATGCACAAAAAATTAGTCAATAAAATAACAGTGTGCATGAAGTCCTCGCATGGTTTTATGTTGTCGCCCTTTAGATCTTCAGTGCTGAACAAAGCACCTACACCTCCCTGCCATTACTGATGTATGTGGTTAAAAGTTAGAGATTTAGACACCACTTCCTAAGCCTTGACCCAGCTGAAGAGCCTGGCGAGAAAATGGCTTGCCCACAGCCAAACAGCATAACTGCATAATAAGTGTCACTGAGATGCAAGGGGATATCACAGCCTGTCTAAGAATTAGCATGCAAGTTTAAAGTGATATTGCCATAGAAACAAAAATCAAATTAAAAAACCCAACAGGGAGACAGCCCACAAATAAAAAAGGTGAGAAGACCCACAGAAGAGCATTACCTGATGGAGGCGTTGGCGTGGCCAGGGCAGCTGTGGGTGTGGAGGAAGAAAAGCCACAAGTGAGATGTGTTGCTCAGGAGAAAAGTGCTGGGGCACAGACACGGTCCCACCTCCGGGTGCAGGGTAACATGATGGGGATTGTAGTGAGGAAGGGATGGGGACACAGGGGACTGTGAGCTCCAGAGGAGAGCCAACCTTGCCTCTGCTGCCCACGCACCTGCACAGATGACGCTGGCATCCTCTATGTGCCTGCAGTTGTGCACGCCCCAGCCATTGTGCCTGCACATCTGGAGAGAGAGCTCATCCCCACGGCAATGCACGTCATCCAGGAA